TCCCCTTTGTTTAAGATAAAATACTTTGTCTACTGTGGCATGAAAATTTCACTGTTTCCTTGAGAACGTATCTTTTAAATATATATGTTTCTTATTTGCCCTGCTTTGGCTCTAGTTCAGTCACTACTCATTGCCTGAATTTCCAATTAATGATTAAGAAAAGAGACATGCACATTTGATAGTAGTAATGATGATGTTATGTTAGGAAGTGACCAGCGTCAGTCACTTGATATATAAAGAAATGATTCATTTCTTTATATATCCAGAAATGACAGCACCGGTCACTTACTAATCCTCCTCCTTATGAATAGATTATGACAATATGCTTAAGAATTGTTCACTTCTTCTTGAATACAGGGCAAAATATCAAAAAGAAAGAAAAGAAAACAATTGGAATAATGGACTACCACAGGGATAGTGTCGACAACTATAAAGCATAATGGAAACATCATAGAATGTATTGCAAGCAGCTAGAAGTAAAAAATGCTGAGGCTTTAATATGTGCATGCTTTGAAGAAAAAAAAATATGTATGAATCCTAAAAGGATTATGTTCAGAATTTCAAAAGTCCTGACCTGATTTTGATTTATTACTAATTAAATGCAAGTCTGGTATTAAACACCAGCTCACTCTACCTGTTGATGAATTTTGACATGAATCAGATTTTAGACCACAATGGAGCCTCAAATTTCTGTTGCTAAGCAAGACAGTTGTTATGTGAGTTTTGCCCCATTTTATGACCTTTCTTGCCAGAGTTGTTAAGTGAATCACTGCAGTTAGTAACACAGTTGTTAAGTGAATCTGGCTTCCCCATTGTCTTTGCTTGTCAGAAGGTGGGTAAAGGCGATCACATGACATGCAACCGTCATAAATATGAGCCCGTGGCCAAGGGTCTGAATTTTGATCACATGACCTTGGGGATGCTGCAATGGTCACAAGTGTGAAAAACAGACATAAGTCACTTTTTCCAGTGCCACTGTAACTTCAAATGGTCACTAAAGGAACTGTTATAAGTCAAGGACTACCTGTAATGAATTACTGGTACACAAAGGTTGAGCTATGAGTTACTTAGATTCGTTAGTGGGAGGTCCACTAACAGATAGTAAAATATACCCAGAGTAGTAGCAGGAATCATCAAGTTGCCTTTATGCAAGACACAAGTACTATAGTATCCTTCCAGTTTTGTTTCCTACTAAGTACCACTAAGTGTTTTATTGCTTCACACTTGAAGTAAGACATAACCATTATGAAAAATAGCCATGCTGCATGAATTTCTCTAATCGTTTTTTAAAAACTGCCCAAGTTTATGGCCATTCCTATACTCCTGAAAGTCAATACTACAAGTTGACTATGAGCTGAGAGAAGACATAGTTTCCTTGTCTAGTTCTTTCACTATTCAATTTCAATAGATTATTCCTAGATTCTAATATCATGATAAGGGAAAAGATTTTACCTTATGTATTTCCCTATTTCCTCCCCATAATTTCAGAATCTTGATTATATTTCCCATTTCTTTTTTTTTTCTTTTTTACTAAGCTTGATCAACTTCTCTGTGTTATTTTTTCCCCCTCGGCTGCTCCAAGCCTTTGATTGGTCTGCTTAAGCTTTTCAGTATAATTCCAGCTCTATGATATCCACTTTGAGGTGTGATAAAGAAAAATATTCACAGTGTGCTAAATGGGATTGCGTCACCCATTTATATAATGATATTACATATTGGCTGTTTTATTTTCAGTTCCAGCAGCTGCACACTGAGCTCTCCACTACACTATCACTCCAAGATCTCTGTGGTGACTGCTGCTTCAGATGTCTACTTGCACTTAAGTGCAATATGAATGTTTGAATACTTTCCTGCTAGAAGCGGTGTGCCAAAATCCTTCTGGAGCTCATCGCTGTCTTTGTTAATCTCTCCACCCCCACAGAACATTGGAAAGTAATTATGTAATGGGACGTGACATTCTGTCTATCTGTCCGTCAGCAGAATAACTCTCCCCAAACAGATCAGAAGAGCAGAACCAAATGTGATACAGTGGGAGAACTCAACAAAAGAAAAGTTGGGTTTGAAGATAGACTAGATCCTTCCATGCATCTCTGCTGGAGTGGCAATTGGGCAGGGATTCAGAACGATGCTGACTCATCCATTTTAAACCCCTTTCTTTCTCCCAGTTGAAGCCTCCAAATGTAGGCAGTCTGCACTGTGCTTCACAGAGTGTGCACACTCACATACTACACAGAGATATGCAACCTGTGAAGAAAGGAGAAACATGCATGCACACACAGACTCAACAGAATACTTCATTACCCCTAAGAAAATACAGATTTCATTTCTCCCAAACTCATAGCTGGGAAAGGATCTGAAAAACATTTCAGAAGCCATGCTCTGCATGCTTTCCCTCTCTTGTTAATTTTTTTTTTCAAGTAAAGGTTCGCTGAATAATTGTGTCAGACTCTAGGGGCCTTGGTTCATCTCCAGTGTTGTCCAAAGATGTTTTTGTGGTCATGTGGCCAGCATGACTATATGCTGAATGCCATTACCCTCCCACTGAAATATAGCAATAGCAGTAGCACACTTAGCCTTATATACCACTTCACAGTACTTTACAGCCCTCTCTAAGCGGTTTACAGAGTCAGCATATTACCCCCAACAATCTGGGTCCTTATTTTACCAGCCTCGGAAGGATGGAAGGCTGAGTCAATCTTGAGCCTGGTGAGATTCAAACAGCTGAACTGCTAGCAATCAGCAATCAGCACAATTAGCCTGCAATACTGCATTCTAACCACTGCACCACCACAGCTAGATTAATATACCTATTAATCTACTTGCATTTGCATGTTTTCAAACTACTAGGTGGGCAGGGGCTTGGACAGGTAACAGGAGTTCAGTCCATCGCACAGTGCTTGGGTCTTGAACTGCCAACAAGCCTAAAGTCTTAACTGTTTAGCTATCCTAAATAATCTTGCTTTATAAACATACATGGCCACTTTATCACTCATCCCTAACTTTATTTGTTCAACTTGTATGCCGCCTTTCTCTGAAGACTCAAGGCGGCATACAAGTTGAACAAATAAAATAACTAACGCTCTAACTCTACAATATGATGCTTTTTGAAAAACCTTTTGACAATTTTTAAAACCTCTGAAAGTTTGGAGAGATAGAATATTTGCAGAAGCCACATTGCTCCTTCATCAGCCTTATCTATTCTTTTATCTGTTTGGCAATTTCATCATTAATAATGCTTTCTGTCCAATTACCCAGAAAAGATATTACGCTAGCCATCTTTTATTTCCTGAATCCTCTATGGATCTCTTTTTAAAAATTAGTGATTTGTTGGTAGTTTGATTGTTTTCCATTTGTTAGGAAAACCGTTGCAGGGTGATCATACGACTCTATGATACCTTGGAACAATTCAGAGTTTTTCCCTTGCATTTTTAACATCAATCTTCTACTGCAAAATTATACAGCCTTTATAACTGAATAATACAAACACTGGAGTTGCAGCAAGGAAAATTTCCCTCGTTGTTTCTCTCACCAAGGTGATGAAACTGAGACTCTTGTGGTTTCTTTGAATCATCTCTTCTACCTGAACTTTAGAATGCTACATTGTATTGCCGACCTTGAAATTCTGGTCACAGGTATCCCAAACATCTATGGGAATAAATCTGTGCTGGTTCTCTGAAACTCCTGAAACAAGATTGAATGTCTATAAATAGGAGGCTGGCTCTCTTTCCATTTCCCTTCTTTATTTATTTTGCAAACAACTCTTTAAAAAGAAATAGGGCAAACTCCAATATCAAAACTCTCTAAGAGAGAAGAGGTGTTTTGGTGGAATTATTTGCACTTAACTGTGAAGAGCCCAGCTCCAAGATGTTGTTTCCCTGACAACCAGAAAATAGAAGGCAATGAAAATGGGAGATGGGAGTTGACTTTTGGAAGATGTCATTATCTGTATCTGTTAAAGTAGAAATTTATGTGTAATCTCTGGAGGTTTATTTGAGCAATTTGGCTTTTGTCATCCTAAACTGCATCTTAAGGGTCATTTCTTCATTGTTTCCCATTTCCATTTCCTAATTTATTTATTTTTTTTGTTATATCCTGGTGAAGAAGGTAAGTGGTAAGTTGGTTTTCTTCGGTGAAATGTATCTCTCTTGTGATCTAAATGCTAGGTCTCTTAGAAGTAGAAAAGAGAAATTTTAGGCCCTAGATAAAGGGTCTTACTAAGTCTTACTCTTGTGTTAATAAACTGTACTACTTCAGAAATTTAAGGCTGTTCTGCTCGTACTTGGACTTGTGGCCTGCAATTCTGTCTCACTGGCACCATTAACTAGATCTCACTAGCTGATGGAACTGCTGCTCTACCAGAAGATGACAAGACTGGAATATGACCCAGTCAATGTGCATCAGAAATCTATGCTACAAGTCCTCCAAGATCACTAAGACATAGAAGTGGAAAATATCTGAAATCTTGATCCCCAACCTACTACAGCATGGGGTAGAAAAAATACACCATGGGTTGAGTGCAGGAGATGCATTAGATCAAGGCAATTAATAAAAGCAGAGCCAAAAAAAGGCAGCAACACCCAAAAAATTGGACAACCAAAATTGTTTAGATACCTGTGTTACTCCGAAAATAAGACCCTGTCTTATATTTTTTTTGAACCCTGAAATAAGCACTTGGCCTTATTACCATGCACTCAAAAGCCTGATTGGGCTTATTATCAGGGGATGTCTTATTTTGGAGGAAACAGGGTAGAAGAAATGGTAGTGAATGTTCTGAGCAGGTCTTAGCCTTTTGGCGTGGTGTTGGGGGATTGCACCTCTTTGGCAACAGCTGGTTTTGCAGATGTATTGCGGCTCTGTGGAGGTTCTGAGTGGGAATCCCAGCAATCTCTTCCCAGAAACAACTCATTCAGAAAGGTGGCAGTGACCCGGAAACAGTACCCAACATAGAGGTTCTTCCCGGGAAAGAAACTAGGGTGGGGAGGAAAATAAATGCAACCTCGTGTCTTTCATTGTTTTTTTATTGTGTAAAAATAAACTCGACAATTCATGTAGTTTCAGCAATAAAATGGAGGGAAAAGCATGAAGAACTAGTAGAAACAGTGCATTTTAAGAACTGCTGATGTGTTCTCTGGATGTCAGGTATAACAATAACTCTTTCAAAATCCAATAAAGACTAATAGCAAGAGATAGGAAAATATACAGCTTTGGTTAACAGAATGATAACTCAAGAAACATACTGTCTTTCACACTGTACAGTATATACAATAGTAACATTATCCTTTTTTTTTTCTTTATAGGGCAAGTGGCATGCAATTTGGACTGAGTTCGTTGACCGTTTTATGATTTTTTTTCCTCCCCTTTGCCAGATTATACTGAAGAAGGTGTCTAATAAGCTTCATGAGCAGATCGATTTTACAAGGTACAATTTGGCTGGTCATCTTAAAAGAGCACTGTATAAGGAACGCTGCTGTATGGTGCTATTTAAAAGAAAGCTATTTAGAGGGCTTCTTTTGGTGAGTCTGTTCAGGTGGGCTTTCTTTCCCCTTAGCTCTCTCGTGTAGCTTTTTCAGGTGAAGGGCTGCACGGCCCTCTTCACTCTGTGACAAGCGGCAGCCTTGTGTGAGTGCATCCTTAACCTTGAGCTGCTTCTCTGCCTATCCAATTGCATTTGCATTTGCCACAGCTTTAGAGTTACTCCAAAGGGTTTCACACGTCTTACGATCCTCTCCCTTTCTTGCCCACGGCCAAGGAAAAATGCCTCGACCACGTTCAGAAAAAGGGAAAGATGTTTGAAAAGGCTGAGGGCTGCAATAGAATCGTACAAACCAGGAAGTCTCTCTTTCTTTCTTTTTCTTTTTCTTTTTTTTACAGAAACCATATAAAACATTATATATTTCAAAATAAACTTTCTTGTTCTGTTTATCCTTCCTCTGTAGTTTAAAAGTATTTTTCGAGGGAATACCCGTTTATTTTCAATATACTCTTTTCTAATAAAAATACCCTTTTCTTGATAAGTAAACTTCTTTTTTATTTTATTTTTTTTATACAAGAGATCATGAGTGCGTGTGAGTGTGTGTTTAAACAGAAAGCCTGGACATATCGAACAATAGATAAACTTTCAAGGGAAGGTGAAACGATATCTCAACTAATCTCACACTTAATCTGTGACTTTAAGCCTTCTTTGCAAGTAGGCTCCTTAGATGCAAATAGGACTGACTTTTAATTATGCATGTTTGGAATCAAATGGCAGAAGGAGGTGGATTCACTGACTGCCTAAATAGAGGACACCTCATACGGGGGTCCCTCCGCGCAAAACCATGGCGGCGTTTTTGCCAGCGAAAACCCTCCCTAGGAATGTGGTGAAATTGTCAAGACAATATTTTCAGGCAAACACGCGTGCTGCTTTTTTAGTGCTCATTTTGCTTGTATAAAAGGACATCACCTGAGAGAGGCATGAATTATTCAGTGCAAGAGGGAACATCAATTGTATTAGGCAGTAGTAGCCTTGGTTTGGGGCAGGGCGGGTCTGCTATCTAGTCCATGTCCAGGAAAGCAACGTTGATGCTGAACGTCTCTTTCCCGGGAAACCTGGCATGGAAGAGGCCACCCCAAAGTGACGCTAAAGCAGTGGTTCTCAACCTTCCTAATGCCGCGACCCTTTAATACAGTTCCTCATGTTGTGGTGACCCCCAACCATAAAATTATTCCTAAAACCATTGAAAATATGTGTTTTCCGATGGTCTTAGGCGACCCCTGTGAAAGGGTCGTTCGACCCCCAAAGGGGTCGCGACCCACAGGTTGAGAACCACTGCGCTAAAGGGACAACCCCAAGGACATGCACTTCGGCAGATATCAGTTAGTCTGCTCCAAAAGCACAATGTTCATTGAATAGCAGAAAGGCATAAACAGTACCTGCTTGGAATCACTCCCGTGCTGAATGGAGAATGCTAACATCCCAAAACATTTGGGGATAAGAGCATGCTTGAAAGAAACAGTCCCCATTGATTTGAATGTTAACAAGTTCATTGCTCGTCTTTTAGGTGGTAGGTTTTCTGTGGTTTTTTTTTTAAGGTCATGCTTTTATCAGGGGGAAGAACACGGCATGAATAACTGCCTTTTCTCCAGCCACACCTGACCTCTACTAATGTGCTTGAATGATTTGTTTTTAAAGCATGAACTATTGCTTGGCAAACGCCCCCACAGCTCTGCAGTAGCCCATGCAAGGAGGCAAGCATTAGATCAAGGAAACACAATTGATGCTCCTACTGAAACATGCAAGAAATGGCAGTGCACCCCTTGTCTCCCTAGAAGCCTGCGGAAATCTAAGAGTACCGTAAACGGGAACCAAAGCAAGGAACACCATTGAATTGCAACTAGTTGCCACTGAAGATGTGTGTGCGTGCACGCAGGGGAAGTAGGTTCCTTTGTCTAAACAAAGCACAATCCCCACTGAGAAGACAACCAAGATGCCTTCCTAGTCTTAGGTCCTTTTCAAGATACCCTTAATACTGTGGATTTTACAACAGAAATGCACTTTGTCATCTTTCACAAAGGTTTGCGAAGAATCTACTCTTACATTCAGGCCAGGATTCCTTGTATGCTTCAAAAGTACAGCACAGGGTTAGTTCCAAACAGATTCATGAAATGGCTACACAGCCATTCCTTCCTCCATCCTCTGGGTTTATGGAGCAAAACCAAGACAAGCCCTTTGCTTGGCTTCTTAGCTCTATTGGCTGAAATGGGTCCTTCCCACCGTTCCCTTTCACCTCTCAAAAAGGAAACCCTTTGAACAAATTAACACAGCATCTGACACAGGGCCCTTTAGGGAAAAGTCCAAGCAAGGCTCATTGTACTAGGCAATCCTGCCCCCTGCAATGATGCCCCATTTATACTGATAAAAACAAAATTCTCAGTTCCCAAATATGGCCATGGAAGTCAGAAGGTAATCACATACTTTGGATCTGACTCCTGTTCCTCCCCGTCCCTCCCTCCCTCCTCCCCCCACCCCACAACAAGCCCTTCAGGTTTATGGCTCTTAGAGTAAAGGAGGTTAAGCAAGGGGGTGGAATGTCTCAAAGGGGTGGGAAAATGATCCCATTTCTCAGTCAAGTCTTCCATTAGACGTCCAAGATGCATTGTTTTTGGAGGGGAAGAGTTGGCTATGAAATTGAGAAGGGAAGGTCAACCCTGGAAGGGGTTTGGGAATTCACTGCCATCTTCAGGCCACAGAGCTTTGGAAGAAACAGTAGTTAATGTCTCTGGGACGATGGCTCTCTCTAGACTTCACATAAGCTTGATGGCTAACAGAGGCAGATCCTTTAGGCTCTAAGCAAAATAAAGGCAGTGTAGGAAAACAGGCTGTTTTACAGCTGCACCGGCATGGATAAGCAACAGCTGCTCCTACATATTATCCCAGACCTGGACAAGCCATCCAGGATCCTCAGCTTGGCAATTCTCCCGAGTCTTACCTGTACGTTTGAAGGGGCAAAGATGGCTCCATCCTATTCTGGCTATAACCAGTAGTGAACACCACCAGTGAGGGACAGTAGAGGACCTGATCCATTTAAGAAAAGAAACCATTTCCCTCACCTCTTCTCCTTATTCAGCCTCCTTATGCACCATTCAAAAGCTTTTGCCATCCCGTTAACTCGGAAAACTAATTGTAAATACAATTTAAAAAAAAAAATCAATCAATCAATACCTGCCTAGAGGAGAATGGCTGCTTAAAAGACATCGAGTAGAGTAGGAATATATAGAGATAACCTTTTAAAAGTATATGCAAATGAAGACAGATGTGCTGAAAGAGTTGCACCAGCCCAAAGGCACTCAGGCTTCAAACGAAGTTGGCAAGCCAGAAAAATCAGACCATTCATCTCGTGACGTCATAAAGCAGTGGGAGGAAAGCTAGGAACCTTCTTGGTTGGTTTTTTTTTTTTTTTGGCCAGTTTGCAAAGTTCCCGGTGATCTTAAAATGGTATCAAGAAATTCCATTTACATTTCCTAGATTCCTAGTCTTCCCTCCCCCACCCACCACAATAAAATACTGGTTCTTCAGGACAAGTAATATGATTTTCGAAAGTGACAGAAAAAAAAAAGGAAGGCAAGTTGTCTGTAAAACATTCCTGGATGAGAAGAATGTCTGTTCACCCAGGGTTGAGTGGATCTGGGAGAGGGATGGGGAAGGAATGGCAGATTTAGTTGATCTGACGGCAGGCTTCAAATGTCCATTTGGTGGCTCCACCATAAATATCAATGTTAGTCTCAGACCAGGCTATGACACTACCAGGCAGGGCTTTGGTGCTGCAAGTAGCCAAGTTGTAGACCTCCCCTGGGGTGAGCTTTCGGTCCCAGATGTTGAAGTGGGCCAGTTCTCCCACAAATGCCTGGGTGGCATCAAATCCACCACCAAGTGTATCCTTGAATGGAAAAAAAAAATGAAAATCAAAGGTTTGAAAAGGTCATTCTCTGCAAATAGGTACAGCATCGTGTACACGAGGTGCTTTTTCCTTCTCCAGAGAAGGAACACAGCATCGACCATCTTAAAACCTGGTATAATAAACACTTGAAATGAGCCAGAAAGCTTTTCGGGTACAGGGAAAGGTCAGCTAGAATAGACTGCATTAAAGAAGCTCAATAGGAAATTGAATAAAGACAAGAATATTCGGTAACTGAAGTGCATTTTCTGTAGAATATATTTTCAAAACTAGAAGCTTTGGTTACAAGTTCTAATATTGCTGGTGTGCCTCGAAGAATGAAGATTGCTCTCAAGATCCATCCAACTGCTATTTCTTTGCTTAGTAATCAGCTATAAGAATTGCTTTTTCAATGCCCAGATTTTTAAATAGCTATAGATTGAATTGGTGTTCTTTCACACTATCTCTAATTGGCTATATTTATTTTTGTTCTTTCTGCTGTAATTTCATTCTGCTATGTAATAATGTGTATCAATATTTCTGAACCAATTCCGAAAACTTTTAAACTTATATGTATCCACATCTGAAGAAAGTTTGTTTTACAAATGAGGAGTGGTAGTGGTGAGGAAATCAAGAAACAATAATTGAATTTGTGATTCCCCCCTGCCCCATGAAATAGTTACCGTGTCCTTCTATCTCTGACTACACAGTTTCTTCAGGTGGATGAATAGCATTGTTAGGGAGAATTTATCCATGTTATTTGGATAGTAAGATAAGGAAAATAGCTGCCTGCTTTTATGAAGTGAGAGGGGAAGAATCTGAGATGATTTGGGATGAGTAATTACATGGAAATATCCAGGTCAGTCCGAATCTATGATCTGATGACCAGAATTCCCCAAACATAATGCTGTCATAAAGCAGAGGTGACACATTGACACTTCTGTGTAAATCCCTCTTTCCCTACCTAATACCCTCAAAATATATTGGAACTGCAACACACAAGTAGCTGAGAAATGAATGGTTACAACTGAACGTATCCCAAAAGTACAAGTTAGCAAACACTGGTACAGATTACAGGTTAGTAGTTTTGGTGCCTAAATCTTATTGCAGAAGAAATCTTGAAAATGTTATTTGTGCAGTGAAAGATCTATACTAATGTATTTTATAATATGCAGTTATATGTAGAGAACTTAAATAGGTGTCGCAAAAAGAAACAGATTAGTCTTCTTTAACTCCTATGCATTCTGGACTCCTCCCCATTTAAGCATTTTTCCTACCACCCCACCAGTCCACCAACCCTAATTTCTCTTCTGCTATTATTTTGAACAAATTAAATTCTACCATCTTGAGTATTGGGAAACAAAGCTTGGAAATTCTAGCAGAAGTCTGGGAAATCTATTCATATCTAACCAATTAAATGTTGAAACTCATGGCAACTTTGCTGCAATAAACCTTATAATGTATGAACAAAGCATGCTTTGGCTGTGAGGTATTTTGATATGATCAGGATCATGTTAGCACCAGGAGCCTATGACTAGTATTATCAGAGCTAAAACAGAAGAACATAAAGCCCTCAAATCAGTGCCCGCTGATTTCAGTACACACATGCATACACAATCTGGAATTGAAGGGGATCCTATATCAGCTTGGAACAATTCAGAAGGGCAAATCCAGAAGTACTGAATGCAATTAAGACCAGAAGTGGACGTTTTCTCCTTTTCTAACATTTAGCACCTTCTTCACCAATCTTTATATGAAATGACAGCAAATTACTGCAAGGATGAGCTGACCATTATTTGCTGTAGATCACTGTGTGATCTGCAGTAGATGGACATGGATTTTCTTTTTTTAACAGCAGTAACTATAACTCTTCCTCCACCAAAGCGTATTGCAGAAATGAAAAATATGTGGAGGGAGGGTGGTTAGGAGGGATAGCCAGGAGTCTTTTTGTATGTATATTAGAAGATTGTGAATGACATTCAGTTCTGTCATTCAAAACAATTTTTTGGACTTCACATTCTTTAATTATGTGTGTTGCACATGGTCCCAATTGGTGGATCTCAAGATTTTAGTTCTAAAAGCCCACAAATCCGACTTCTGCTTATCCCTGCTGCAGAGGATGGTCATATCCTGCCATCACTGCACAACCTTACCTGTTCCTGCCCCAACACTAGGACCCCTTGGGGTTTTATCGGGTGATAAGGGGCCAGGTTTTCCCCATTGCCTCGTTGGGTGCCATCCTGATAAGCTTCCCAGACACCATCCCGGGTTGTCCATGCAATGCAGATATGGTGCCATTTCCCATCATTAATGACAAAAGGAAGCTTTGCTACCTGAGGAAAGAAAAATGAGAATTGCTGCAGATATGCATTTCTCCAAATATATTGTGCACTGTATTGGAGATCTGGTTGCTGTTGTATTTACTAATAAGATGGGAACGTTGTCAAATCTCCATAGTAGCCATGGGACATTTTGATCTCCATTTATATTATCTGAAGGATAACAAAAGTTTGCGATCTAAAGCAAAATGCACTTATCTGGGATCAATCCTATTGAATTTAATAAGGTTCACTTCTGAGTAACCATGAACAGAAATGCGTTGGAAGTACAGTTTATGAGGATGCTTGTTTTATGTTCTAGGACACAGAATTAGATTTGCAGGTTTAAATACTATGACAATAAGGAAACAGATCTGAAAATATTGTCATGCATTTCTACAATTCTGGAAATCTGAGAAAACGAGAGTTGACTTCTTCAGTATTTAAAAGAGAATGCATTTGTTAAGCCTCAGAAGAGTGTCTTGCTTGAGTTGGAATATATCTTGATAAATTTGGGGAGGCACAGTGTAATTGAAAGGATGAAACAAACAAGCTGGTGATATTATGAAAATATGCAAGTTTTCACTAAAGTTAGAAGTTCTCCTTGAAAAAATTCTTTAAAAATTACATTGTGTACAACAGCCCTTCTTTAAATGTTGGTCAAATCAAATGGTTTAATTCAGAATCATATAAAAAAAAATCATATTTATTTTACTTGTTCTAGAGAATACATTGAAACTTGAAGTTTTTTTAAAGACTCATCTTGTGTTCTTATTTTAAAAATAGAACTGTGTTTTAATATCAGCACTTACGGTAATTATTTAGCACCAAAGATTTGCAAACACGTTCTTCATGTCCAAATGATATTTGGAGAACAAATGCAAAGTTTTCATTGTTTATCTACACATTTAATTAGTAATTTGCCTCCTTCAATTTTTCATTTATTAATACATGCATATTTCCTCAATAAAAGAATGACACTTACCTTGTCATTGATAAGGATCTCCATAGGATTATTACCCCATTCAATAAGTACCAATTCATTGGCTTGTCCAGGTACTGCATAAGAGAAAGGTGTGCCTACACCTGGAGAGGCATTTGATTTTATCCACATACAAATTGTAAATGCATACATCTCTGGCAAGCTTTTCTTCACTTTTGCGTACATGTAATTGGTTCTCAAAGGGAAGGTCAGCTGAAATTTATCTGTTGGCCTATTATCTTTCTGACCTGGAGGAAGATAAGAAAGGGTGTTTTCTCAGTGTTTGCAGAGTTACTAAGGCTATAATGTTACATTCATTTATTAGGAAGCAAGTTTAATTAGACTAATTTCTGAGTAGACATGCACAGTATTACGGATTGTTCTAATGAGGCAGTGCCAAAAATGGAATGAAGCTTTGTAGGAATGCCTTGATCACTTCTCAGTATCAATGCTAGCACATAGACCTGAATAGTTTATCTTAGAATTTATTTTCTTTTTCTTTCCTTCCTTCCTTCCTTCTTTCTTTCTTTCTTTTTCTTTTTCATTATATAATGAGCCTTAAGATGGCAGTATTCAAATCCCTCCAACACATTTCAGCACAGTAATCCTAATCACATGGACAACAGTTAGAGAAAAGGTTCTTTTTCTCATTTCTCTCTTTTTACTCTTAATGACTTTTTATATCTCTATTACTGTATATATACACACAGTAGGAGCAAAGAATGTAAATGGATGCAGTGATTTTATTGGAGTCTGAAGGAAAAAAAATACTCTTGTTTGTTCTAGGTCACTTAGAGGATAGAACTCAATCTATATAAATCAGTTATATTAAGACGTGCATTGGGTACTATCTGCTAAGACACTTCACTAGTGAATAGTATTTTTTCCAACGTGGGCCAATATTATTTTAGACAAATCATATAGAACCTATTTATTGCCCTTCCCAATTGCATAAACTCATAATTCACCCCAGAATAGTAACTGCCGCCACTAAGGAATGTAAATTACAGTGATGTGTGTGTGTGTGTGTGTGTGTGTGTGTGTGTGTGTGTGTGTTAGGAAGGACATACAGTACCCACTCTCCTTCCTCCAAGTAGGTCACTATTCAGAAAAAAGCCCTACACCTATTTTAATACAGGTTGCTTTACCTTTCTCTAAGTCAGTGATCCTTTGGTGAAGGGAAGTTAAGGTGCTTTCTATTTTCCCTCTTTCTTCAGACTCATTCTTGGAGTTGTACTTTCCTTCTTCCAGGCTGTTAATTCGAGAGAGCACTTGCTTTTCTAAATCATCAATGTTGTTCTGAAGTATATCCTTCAGGGAATTGGTTTGGCTCGAAGAATTCATCCTACTGAATTGCTGTGCAAGGTTGGGGGAGAAGCAAAGAGAGTAAGTGGCTTGGGAAAAACCAAATTAACACCATAGCATTATTTTTGCAGAGACTCGTTCTGAGGCTCACTACTCTGACACAGCTAAACTCATTCAGAGCTTACCAAGTGAAAGAGCAGTGCCGTATTAAAAAGGAACAAGTCAATCTGTTAAAGAACTGAGCGATGGAGAACATTTTGAATGGGATGGCGAATGTTTTGCCTCCGCACCATTAAAACAACACGGAAGTCAGCAAAGACTGGATAACTCACAGCGAACTCTGAAGTATCTGCTTGCCTAGATTTAAGAAATAACAGAAAGGAGAAAGTTGTACCTCCAAGTTTTCTAGCCTTATTTTGAGCGATTGCAAAGTTTGCCCAAGTTGGCTCAGTGTTTCAGCAGCTGGAGTCCGGGAGAGATCTCCCATCGTGTTTTTGGAAGAGCCGGTCTGCTTTCTGTTGGAGCCCCCACCCGTTTTAGATTCACCAGGGCCTCCTTCTAGAGTGCTTTGGCTCTCACACCTGCCCAGTTTCGTGGTCAGTTCCCTAATGGTTTCTTTCTGATTCATAATGGTCTCTTTCTGCTGGAGCACCGTTTCCCGGAGCTGTAGCACTGTGGTCTTCATATCCTCGGTGCTACCGCCGCTCTGCATAGAAGAGGTACACATGTCCATATCCACCGGCACCGAGGTGCAGATAAACCGAGTCTGTCCAAAATTCTGGGCGCATCCTTTTAAGTAGAAAAGGGAGACCAACACGAAGCTGCAGCGGACCGCGGCAAACATGACCGGAGCAAAGATCCCAAGCAACGCGGAGCTCCGGCAAAAAACGGCAAAAGGAGTTTCAGCACCATGGAACTATCCACCGAACTGCTGAGCCGATTGCGGTACGCGGGCTGCTTTTATAGAGGGCGGGAGGGGCTACAACGCCCCTGACGTCATAATAGGGTGGAATCCCTGTTTAATTGCTCGGTGCCCATCGAGTTTCCTGCTTCGGGGGGTCTAAGTCCAAATAGAGGGACACTGAGCAGGTCTGGTGACTGCACGTACTTGCTGCTTTCCTCCTTGCGATGAATGGAACGGCGCGCAGGGACAACCTGCGGGGGAGGGGAGGGGAGGGGAGGGGGCGCGGCCTGCGCACGCAGAAAAGGACCGGAGCCCGGTCGGATGCGTAAGGCGTGCGCTTGTGCGGCAGAGCAGGTTCTCTTCGGACGGTGGGAAATTGCTGTTGCGGACCTTGTGCTCGAATGATGGGGTTGGTTTTTTTTTAAAAAAAAATCGGATCTGCGGTGGGCTCCCGAAAATCCTCTCCAACAATTCTCAGAAAGTGGCTACTATGAAGTTCCTGGGGCAAAACGTAGCGTGCTGTCTGGAATTGGAGGGTTATGCTGTGAACGCCTAAGGCAGGTGCGCTGGGTATCCGCCTAGGTGCAACTTTCCCGCGTGAAATGGCAACAATCGCGGTCTACGCGGACTTGTGTTCAAGAAGGGAATGCTAGGGTGTCAAACGCAGGCGGGCTATCATCAGCGTGCCTACCGTCCCTGTCCTAAGATTCCTTTTTACTTACTCTTTTCATGTATTCAAATTATGTTTATACTTTTACCTGTTACCTTATATATGCTTGACAAATAAACTTATGATTATAATTTGGGATAGCAGGACACCTTCCCCCCCCCCCGTAGTCCAGGAACCCACCCACCCCTCCATAGGACCGTCTGAAGGTACAGGGGACCGCTCATTTGTAGCGTGCATCCCAGTGGAACAGAAAACTTGTGTCTTTCGGGGGAGATTGCGGAGCGGAACTTTTCTCCCCGTGTGCCACTTTGGCCGGGGTGCTGGCTTCAGGCTTGCTACTGTAGTCCGTTTGACAAGAGGACGCCAAATTTGAAGGGGTCCATTCTAGGAGGGCAAAGGAAGAGCGTGCGGCCGATCTAAAAGAGTAAGAGCGAGGTGATGAGAGCGAGAGAGCCCGAGGTTTGGGCAAACTAAGCAGAGAAGCGCAGCTTTACTAACCCGAAATCTCTTTCCGCTTTTTTTTTTAAAAAAAAATTTGATTTATATGCCGCCCTTCTCCGGAGACTCAGGGCTTACAATGCGTTAAGCAATAGCCTTCATACTTTTGTATATTTTTATACAAAGTCAGCTTATTGCCCCCACAAACTGGGTCCTCAATTTACCTACCTTAGGAAGGATGGAAGGCTGAGTCGACCTTGAGCCTGGCGAGATTCGAACTTACTAATTGCAGACAGCTGGAGTTAAATTACAATGCACTAGTCTGCTGAGCTATCCAGGCTCACTTGCCTGCCCATTTCGAGCGAGCGAGGCCAACGTGCCTAACTAACAATTTTAGTTCTCTTTTCCAATCCCTTTTTCCCAGGAATACCCAAGAAAGGTTTCCTTTTGGCTCGCGGCGGCGGGAATTGTTGCCTCTCCACATGGGAAACCGGACGGATGGGGGAGAGTCGAGGAGCGCAGTTTGGCCCAAAATGAAACTTGCCGGGGCGGGGGGGGGAGGGGGGGGGGGGGCGATCTTCGGTCGCTCTCTTCTCTGTGAGAAAAGCAGATATGGCTCCGTGTGGAAAGCTGCGCTTGGGAGTTCGGCAGCGCGGCGTCCCCTCCCGCCCTCGCCCTCGCCCTCGAGGCGGGGTGCCCTACCCCCGCCCTTTCTCTCCTTTCCCGAGCGGAAATGGGAGAGAGGAGGAGGGCGGGATGTCCGAGGAACGAGAAGGACGGGATGTGTTTGTAGACTCTTCCCTCCATCACCTCTACCGTCCCGCAGCCTTTCCCCGCCCTTTCCCAACCCGGGCGATCTGCTGCTAGGAAAATAACTTTCCCGCAACCTCCGCCCGCCCCGCGGCTGGGAAGCGCTTTCGGCGCTGTCAGCGGAAGGAACTCGTCTCCCCCTCCTCCTGGCACCAGCTCGGCTCGCCTTTCTGGACTTGGCAAAAGCACCCGACCCCCCCACCCCCACACACACACACTTCCCGCGCGCGGACGGGCTCCCGCGGAGCTTCTCTTCCAGGCTCTTCTGCCGGGACCGACGTTCGGTCGGCCAGGCGCGACATCCGACGACTGGGCTGGGAGAAGAGCGCCCCGCGCGGCCAGCAAAGCTCAGCTCTCCCTGAATAACACCAGGACAGAGAGAGAGAGAGAGAGAGAGAGAGAGAGAGAGAGAGAGAGAGAGAGAGAGAGAGAGAGCGCGGCCTGCGGGTCGGTGGGCGGCGATTAGGATTTGAAGGCACGATTCGGAGCATCTTACTCCGGGACGTATCCTGAATTATTTATTTATTTATTTATTTATTTATTTATTTATTTATTTATTTATTTATTTATTTATTTATTTATTTATTTATTTATTTAATTTTATTTCTATACCGCCCTTCTCCCGAAGGACTCAGGGCGGTGTGCAGCCTGATTAAAAGCACAAAGACAGACAAAATTTAAAAATAATTAAAATTATTACATGATAGGCCCAATTATAAAACCCCCAAATTTAAAATCCCAAATTTAAAACCAATTAAAATCTATTACCTTGATAGCCCGGCCTGGCGGAACAACAAGGTTTTGAGGGCACAGCGAAATACACGGAGATCAGAGATTTTACAAATTTCTGGGGGCAGTTCATTCCAAAGGGCAGGGGTCAATCGAGCTATTGAGAAGCACTGCGCATATATTTATTTATTTATTTATTTATTTATTTATTTATTTATTTATTTATTTATTTATTTATATGCCGCCTTTTTCTGGAGACTCAGGGAGGCTTACAATGCGTTAAGCATTTAACACCCTTCGGAGTTTTTTTTTTTTTTTGTTTGTTTGTTTGTTTTGATAATCGTGAGGATGAGGGCGGGGAGGATAGTGATTCTGAATGCTTCTCAGTAGGGATCAGAAGAGAGATTTTCCTCAGACGTCCTCAAACCGTCCCCTGATAACAGTTACAATGGAGTGCCAACAATATCCTCAAAATATCTCCTTAATCTCTTGGGTTGATTCCCCATCCAGCTTGTGGTTTGTCTTGCTCCTACTCCAGAGTAGTCCTACTAGGTTTAAGACAGCGGGAAAGTAGGTCACTGTCTCAGCTATACTTTTGGGGCTTTGTTAGCTAAAAAGATACCTTCAATCCCACATCCCACCTCATGCATGGGTGGGCTTCTGGGTCATCTTAACCGAGATGAGATCGTCAACCTGTCACTCTCTAGGAATAGAGGACCCCAGTCTGTCCTACATATTTTCTCCTCCCTCCCTCCCTCTCTCTTTCTTTTTTCCTAGAGCAACCAAATCAAGGCTGCAAACATCTGTTCATGAAACGGCAGCAATGTTTCTAAATTTCTTGGCTGCCATCTAACAGCTGCCTGGAGTTATGTAGCTCCGCTTTTTCACTGGCAGTGGGCAAAAGTACATATTTGTGTTTTTCAAGTCTATTCTCTCCTGGGAAATTTTTCAGTGGATTTGAGTGAGCAGAGGATGACAAGACAGTCTAGAGCAGGTGTGAGCAACTATGCCGCCTTTATGCCCTGTGGACTTCAACTCCCAGAATTCCTGAGCCAGCCATGCTCAGGAAAGGGGCCATTATTGCCCCCCTCCCAGTCATTTCTTACATCCAGGGCTTCATCTGAAGAATCACAATTTTGGTTTCCATCACTCATTCTTCATCTCATCTATGTTTGTGAAAAAAGGGACAGAAAGATGGGGAATGGATAGTTTATGCAAACACTCAAAGATAGTGGTTGAGAAAGGCTGCCTGAATATTTCAGTACTTGTGCAGTGCTCCACCTGACCTCATTCAGAAAATTTAGGAACTGCTGAGTTGGATCCTCAGGCCTGTAAAGCCACTCTTGGGTGGACTCCCTTCCCATTCTTCAATCTTGGAAAGCTGGGCTTTCTTCTCTTTTCCCTGTTGTTTCCCTCTCTCTCAAGGCAGTGTTCTTCCCATCTATTCCCTCGCAGTACTTTTCTTCTGTTTTGAAAACTTTAGATCCAAGTGTAGCAACTATTCTCAAGGTTGGGGTGTTTCCTGCCATTAACCTGTGTTTTGGTCCCTTAAGGGGAATGCAAAGGAAAAATGCGGTATCCTTCTAAAGAAGAGTGCCAGCCTTAGGCACTAACCAGGAGTGGCTACACTGAGCACCTCTTAAGTGGGAGCTGAAAGTGGTGTCCCTGACGAGGGGAGACAATGCCGGCAGCAGCATAAGCTGTCATCGAGGGAGCTGCAAAGCCAGGAAGCAGAAAACGGAAGCCTCCCTCCCGCCAAATGCACATGTTCTGGGCCAGGAGCCAGCAGGTCCTAGTGCTCTCTTGGAGCTCTCTCCCTGCCTGTGATTCATTATCTTAACAATCTGGAAGAGGATGTTACACTCTGCAAGGCACCCAGGGACAAATGAAGGAGATTCTGATGGTGTTTCAGGCTGATGCATACACAGACAGTAAATGTAACTGGTAGGAATCCACACGTATTCGTGGAAAAGAACTACTGCTATTTGGGGAGAAGGCAAATTGCTCCTTGTTTACACCAGCCTTTCTTCAATTGGTGTTCCTTAGATAGTTGGGCTATAACTCCAGAAGTAAAAAGTAACCAAAGGTCATGTGCAGATTTGTATATTGGGGAAACAAAACAACCACTTCATAAATGCATGACATAACATAGGAGAACAAATCCATCAGGACAAGGTTCAGCAGTCCATCTGCATTTAAAAGACAAAGGCCACTCTTTTGAAGACACAAAATCCACATTTTTGACAGAGAGGCCGCTGGTTTGAAAGACCGGCCCAAGAGGCCATTTACGTCAAAATTGAACAGCCCTCTCTCAACAGAGGGGGAGGGATACAACATCATTTATCTACAGTCTAGAACACAGTCCTTTCAACAGTTCCAAGAAGGCTCCACATCCATTTGCACTCTCAGGTGATGACCTGATGACACAGATAAACCTCCCTCCAGGCGGCCTCAATTCACTAAAAGAATGCAAATGACCAGCTGTCTGCAAGGGGTATAAATCCTTCCATTCCCCTCCATCCAGTCAGGGCTGAAGAAGCTTCTTGGATGAGAAGTGAAATGCCTTCAAAGAAAAACAAGAAAGTCTAGTTGCCTCTTG